GCAACCCCCGAGTGCCGGTGACCCCGGGCGGTGGGGTCTGTGCCCGCTGCCTGTCCACATGATGCCTGCAGGGCAGGCATCCGCCTGCACCTCCCTGGTGCCTGCCCTTGCCTGATGCACTGTATGCCTGAGTGTGTCTGGTGGGGCTAAGTGCCGAAAGTATCCACCGGGCAAAAGTTCATTCTCCTCCTCTTCCTCTTCCTCCTCCTCCTCTTCCTCCTCCTCACTGCCCGAGTCCTCGTAGAAGCAGAGGGTGGCCTGCACTGGGAAGTTCTCCAGCAGCTTCTCCCCCACGCCGTAGAGATAGTCAAAGGACTTGGACTTGGGCCAGAGGATCCTGCTGGGGAGACCCAGGGTGAGAGCCGCTGCCTGCCTGCTGCCCTCGGGCCCTGCCGGGATGCCCCAGCAGCGTGTTGAGTGCCCCACAGACCTGGCAGACCCTTGCGGGGTCATCCTGCCCTTCTGTCCTCTGCCCCTGGGTTTAGGTCCTCATACCCCCACAAAGGAAGCTGGCATCTACCCCCTTCCCCGACACGCTTTTTTGCCAGTGTAATCTCCCTGTTGTGTTCAAAAGCTCGTGCCCAGGCATTCCACTAACCCTCTGAGGAATGCCCGCCAGGCCTGGGAAACCTGGCAGACCCTTGCGGGGTCATCCTGCCCTTCTGTCCTCTGCCCCTGGGTTTAGGTCCTCATACCCCCACAAAGGAAGCTGGCATCTACCCCCTTCCCCGACACGCTTTTTTGCCAGTGTAATCTCCCTGTTGTGTTCAAAAGCTCGTGCCCAGGCATTCCACTAACCCTCTGAGGAATGCCCGCCAGGCCTGGGAACAGGCGGCCCTTTCAGGCCCCCGTGGCACAGCTGTGCTGGCTGTGGCTGCCCAGGTGGGTCTACCGGGCCCTGCCCTGGCGAGGCTGCGCGGCTTGTGGGGCAAGGGGCGATGCACCAGGGGAGATGGGCACAGTGCTGCCCTCCAACACTGCCAGGGTGAAGGAGTCTGGGGCGAGAGGATGGTTTTCTGCCAGAGACCCCAACCCTGCCAGCAGGAAACTGGGGGGCACCCAGCAGGGAGTGTAAAACTCACAGCGTCCATCTGCTCCTGCTGCTGCCCAGTTCCCTCCTCTGCTTGGGGCAGCCACGGTCTCCAGGGAGGCAGGGATCTAGGTGTGGAAAGCAGGTTCAGTGCGACAGCCGCCCACCCTGGCCTGCTCCCCCTTGCCTTGCTTCCCCACCACCACAGCCACACACCCCCAGTCTCACCTGCCTGGCTCAGCCCCTGCCTGGGTGTGGGGGGTGCCAGGCACATGCAGGTGTCCTTCTTGCCCTGCTACAGCACCCCCCAGCATCCCTGGGAGCATCCAGCATTGCTCCTCAGGCTCTGCACCCCCTCTGTCACCCGTGGCTGCTGGGATCAGAGAGGTCCCCATCAGAGCAAGGAGCCACGCAACCTTCATCCGAACCCAGCTGGAGCCTTCCCCATCCCACCTTCCACTCATTCCCTGCCCTCTCCGCCCTCTCCACCCTCCCCATTCCCCGCAGGCTGCACAGCACCCAGGTACCTTCCCCCTTGCTGCAGCCCCAGGGCTGGGCAGGC